TATTACCCAGTTTTAAAACTGCAGAGATAATCTGAAAGAAAAGTGTCCAGATTTAAACATGCTCTGAAACATTATAGTAGGAAACTATATGCCTAGGAGCTTCGTCTCCTTTAAATTCTCAGTTCAGTGATGTATAGCGATTTTTTTTAACCTATTGCAAAATGACAGTGATGTTCATGTTCAAGAAAAAAATAAATTTGATGACCATTAGAAACTATGGAGAACCAAGTGAAGGAAACCAGTTAAAATCTCACTGGTGTGCAGGGTGAAAGTGTGTTGGCTAATGCATTACGTTTAATATAATGTTTATCATTTAATCTGAAACAAAGGTAGAGAACCAGAGTAATGTTTACGCATTGCAGCATCTCTATTCTATCAGCACATTAAAACCACTCCTTGCTTTGCGCACATCTTCCAAGCATAAAAAAGATGAGTCCTATACAGTGTGTGATGGATCCAGGCACCACATTTCTCTCAAGGAAGAAGAGAGGTGGCCTCTCACCCTCTGAAATGTGATCCTTCTTGTTCAGTTGGACAGGTGTGTCGATTTCATGGTGGGTAACAGCTGTCGGGCACTTTGACACAGAAATCTTTTACTTCTGCATGTCTGAACTTGGCAGGTTTTCCAGACTAAATAGCAGCCAAGCTTCCTTGATTTCTGATTCCTTTGAGGTGTGTTCTGGGCTAATTACCAGATACGTCATGAGTTCCGCAGGTTAGGTTGAAATCGCAAAAGTGAAGCCTGTTCTGACACGGCCTGTTGAAAATCCCTGACTGACTTGAATTGTGCTGTTTCCCTTATAGAACCTCTATGCTGCAGGAGAGAACAAGCTTGGAACAGACGAGTCCAAATTTAATGCCATCCTCTGTGCAAGAAGCAAAGCACACCTGAGAGCAGGTAAGGAAAGGAACTGTTTAAAAGGCTGGTTGTTTAACTGATCCAGTACATCAGAAGTATTGTACAACCAATTTTCCTGCTCGAAATTGTTGTACCAGCAATGCTACTTAAGGTATCTGACACGTAATCCATAAACAGTACAGAAATTATTTTTTTCATTCTGGTACAGATAGTTGCAAATTGTGAAAATATTTTTTGAATACCAGAGATAACAGAGATGCATTACTTTTAAACATTTTGGTCTGTATGATTCTTAATAAGAGTGAATAGCTTGTTCTATTGCATGGATAAAAATGAATAAAATCATTATAATAATATAATTATATAATAATGCACGGGAACATATCCTTGGGAAGGATCTATCTGCACTAGCAAAGAATTAAAGATCAAATTAAAGCATTTCTTATACTGTAAATTAATGTTTGTAGGATTCTCTCTCTCCCCAACCTGCCCGAAAAGTAAAATGCCTAGTCATAGATTTCTATGGCTGTCAAGAGACTTTTAGATAGCAATTTCCCTTGTTTTTCAGTTTTTCATGAATATCAGCAAATGTGTGGCCGAGATATTGAGAAAAGCATTTGCCGGGAGATGTCTGGTGACCTTGAGAAAGGGATGGTTGCTGTGGGTAAGGACTTCATCTTTTTCTGTTACATTTTGTTGCCGTTTTTTTTGCCATGGCCTTTGTGAATGTACTTTTTTAGGTCCTTTATCTGGATATTTTTTATTTAGGAACAAGTAAACCTCAATTCCACGCTGAAAAGAAACGCAACGTTTCGGCTGTGGAACCGCCTTCTTCACACCCAGAGAAGGCTCCACAGCTGACACGTTGTGTTTCTTTTCTTCTCTTTCCAGCATGAAATAAACTTTTACTTGTTCCTTTGCTGCTTACGATGCTGACACAGCTAACTACTTTTTAATTATATTTTTTTATTCTGTGTGCATTTTTAAATCTCAGAATGCAGACATCTGAATGAATATATTTACTTAATATTTTTAGGAGTTAAGGTTAGGGGGTATGTCAAACTCCCGATTATTCCCTAAACAAATGGCTTATATAAATTGTTTTAGAGTTTATACAGTATTTGAGCATAAGCCAAGTGTTCCAGGTTTTCATAAAAAAATGTTGCATGTATGGTTTTGAAAAATGAAATATATGTATGATTTTATAATGTGGTTTTCTTATTATTCCCCACACATACGCTTTCAGTGTTGAGGGTGTTGGTAATGAAGTTTGGAATTATTGATGTGTGTGTTTATCCAGTTGTGAATGTATAAGATCTCAAGTTTGCTTTTGTGTGACCGTTTCCTCCACTCAACACACACTCGCTTCATGATGGTTTGTGACCTGTGAGACACGTCACTGGTGCTGGAGAGCCTCCACCCTCCTGATCATGTAGACCTCAACACTTGATTGAACACTAGGAAACAGTGTTGAGAGACGTTAATAGAATAGCAGCCAGTGCTAGACTGAAAACCTCCAGACACCAAGGCTCTCCAGGATCAGGAGTGAGGATGTCTGCTGTGTATCATACAAGTGCTTCACCCATTTCTGATAATCACAGCCACAATGCATTTTAGCCATACTTCATATTGGGCATCATGAGGCATTTACATTACTGGTAACCCCCCATGTTGTAAGTCTCTTCTATAACGGAGGGGCACCTACACATTTTCCATTTATAATTGTTAAATGATAAGTTAAGGAGCCCTATTGTTGTTGCACTGTTTTTGAAATGGCAAATCTAGAGTTAATGGGATGGAAGAAGGACTTTGTCAGGGAGGTGGAATTGTTGAAATAAGACTCCCCGTTTGTTTGTTTTGTCTTACACTGTACAAATGGTGTGCAAAGCTCATTGCAGGAGATTTAATGTTCAATAGAAACTAAAGTCTGAAAACAATACCCCGTGCTTGGTTCATGGTGTTGGATAAACTCATGTTCTGAATTTCGTTTTTCCACCAGTGAAGTGCATCAAAAACACACCAGGCTATTTTGCTGAAAGGCTCTACAAATCCATGAAGGTATGTTTGTTTTTTTTCTCCCCTGAAACACATGCTAGAATGGCAGGTTTCAGTGTTTCACAGCTGACCCTGAAGGATATGAAATCAATTATTCTTCTTATATTATTATTCTAATTATTCTAATTATTTGGAATTTGGTGCTGGTCTGCCCACAGCAGGCTCATCTCTCCTAACCTGTTGCTTGCGTTTAGGGATTGGGAACAGACGACAGGACCCTGATCCGAATCATGGTTTCCCGTTCAGAAGTCGATATGCTGGATATCCGAGAGGAATACCGGAAGAGCTATGGAAAGTCCTTGTACACTGATATTACTGTGAGTGTTACAGCTGTAGTTGTATTAATTGTCGAACATTTAGAAGCTAATTGATTTCATGATCTCATCCAGCCATTTCTTAAAAAATAGGTTATTGGCTTCAATAACTAATTCCTAAATACACTTTCATGTAGCTTCCACTGCTGTTTTTCTCCTTTGAATTTAACCATTTTTTTCTAAAGAAGTCAATAGCTTTGAGAATTTTTAATATTTAGATCAGGTCTCTTGCAGTCTTCTCTCTTCAAGCTCAAGAGGTCCTGTTCTTTCAGTGCAGGACATTCCTTTAAGTCTGGGAATGTATCTGGATGCTCTTAAAGCATTATCTTTTTTGGAACATTGTAACCAGATTTGTAATAAATATTCTACATGAAGTCTTACTGGTGTGCTGTACCTTTTTAGCACTCCTTGATTTAAATTCCAAGCCTTTAATTATTCTAATATTTTGTCTGTTGTATTGCTTCCCCATGTTGTCTAGAAAATGTTAATGATGTGTCAACGTTAACAACTAAGTCTTCTTCATAAGTAGCTTCTTTTCAGTGTTTCCTGGTTGTGTCTGTAGTGTTTTAGTTTACTAACGATACCAAAAGCTAGATCATTGATATACATTTGGAAGAGGAGAGTTCCTATCATAGTTGGTTATTCTATTCCACTAATTACATCATCCCAGTTCAACATTCATCTGTTCATCAATTCTCAATACTAACACACACATATATCCTACCATCTGCAATTTGAGCATTGACCTTTTATCTGTTCACATTCCCCTAGTTCTCAGTTGTCCACAATACAAGTTTTTGTGAAACTGTCTTTTTCTTCCCCACTAGAGGTTCACATTAGCCATCTGTGAGTCAGACTCTTACTGCTCGTCTGCAATGTCAAGAAGTTGCGTCACTGCTTATTTTTGTATAATCCATTAAATTTTTGTAACATTCACTTTTAATCTGAGTTCTGTTGTGCATTTTAAAAACATTGTGTAACACACTTGGTAAACTTCTCATTTTCTTTGACCTGATAGGGTGATACCTCTGGGGATTATAAGAAATTGCTGTTGAAGCTCTGTGGTGGAAATGATTAAGAGGAGTGGAAGGTCTCATCAGTCTCTTGAAGATCTGCCATACCTGTTGGATTTGCTTTCAAAGCCATACTTAAATGTGTCACTTCTCATTTTTGCATTTAGTGATATTGCATGTTTTCTCCTTATTTCACTGCTTTCACAAATGTGTACTCAGTATGTTTGTGCACTTCTTTATTTTCTATAAATCTCCTTGCTGCAGTTACATGATTGATTAGCAGTCTCTTGTTTTGGAGCGATCGTCCTCTAAGGGTGTTGAATCTTGGAAATCAGCTTCGTCAGTACTGGATATTAAAATACTGTTTCAGTGTTTGAAAATGTTTGATTATGGATTATAAACATCTGTTTGAAAAATATATATATATATTTTAAAATGTACATAAGTAACAAATACATATTGCTTGCAAATGTCCTTTTTATACTTAGTTTTGTAACTAGGCCAAGAAAAAAATACAACTGAGTACCAGACTGAATGCATATCAAGTTAAGTCTTTTGTATGAATATGTGTGCATTGCATTTGATTTAACTATGCAATAGCTTCCATATTAAAGTAAAAATATATTAAGCAGCTTAATCTTTTTTCATTCCTGTTATTCTGTTAATGCAAAGAATTCTCATGTTTAATGATGAGAATTGAGGATCGTATTTTTCTAAGATGTTTTCAAAATTCCGATTTTGTATTGGATTGTGCAGATGGGTACCTTGAATATATCATTGAAATGTAAAAAACGTATTTTTACTTTTAAGACCTGGGCAATGACATTTATTAAGAACTTGAGACTTAATAAATAATTGGTACAGGAATGGCGAGTTTGCAGAAGGATGCTTTACTACTGCTAGTATAGAGGTTTGGTATAGTTCTACACCAAAGTCTTCACTTTTCAAAATGATCTGCAGAACATTATCATTGTATTAATAAAAAAGGCCATACAGTGACATGACTATTTGGTTGTTAGAAAATAATTGATCTTTTTTTCATCCCGCCATTTTCTAAAGCAAGACAGTGTATCCCCTGGGAAAACACTGCTGGGAAACATCCTTCATGAAAGACATGCCTCCAGATCTCAATTCTAAAAGTACTACTCCTTAGTTCCTATTTGTCTTTTGATTCATGGTTTACTGGTCCTGATTGTCAAGAAGCCCAATGGGGCTTCTTTCTGAATCTGTATCTCTCAGACTTTTGACTGCTTGAATTATACCCTCACATAACAGTAATGCCTTAAACCTAAAACTAAAAGAATTGCTCTGTCTCCTCACCTTTATCTATAAGCCTTGATAGTGACCTTACACATCAACACTAAATCAGCCAGAAGGTAAAATCCTATTTTTTTCCAACAACATTGTATAAGTGTTTGTGTATCTAGGACTTTGCACTGGAAATAAAGGATATTTAAAAACAAAACTGTGAGACAACATTCATTAATTTTATTTTTTGGCCATACAATTTTTTTAATCTTTAATCCAAATCCTTCTGATTTTTGACAATCACTTATTGTAAATAGTAAAAATACAAAAACATCAGATTTCAGATATACACTATGAGCAAATGTAGAAGAGAAAAGAGTATACAAATAATTTGAAAAAGTACAATTTAAAAGCTGCAGCATAGTAATGGGAGAGGAGAGTTTAAAGGAAATCCAGAATGTTATACTAAATGTTAGAACACTTGGTCATTCCAGAAAGTGTAGGGGTATGTACCCAGGAGTCTTGGCTAAATTCCACTCTGGGCTTGAAGAGACTGGCCTCCTTCTAGTTCCCTCTTAATTTAACTTGTGAAGCAGTTCCTCACTGCTCTACCTGATGTGTTGTGCAGTTTAGATGCTGTGCATCACCCATGTGAGGCTGCACTTCAGGAGTGACGAAGTGTATCTACATTTGTGGACCCTGTGGGATATACTGTATATGCTATAGATAAGCAAGGAGTTGTAATTAAAACCTTAAAGTTATATGAAAATGATTAAGAAATTAACATTTTTAAAAGCTGAATGTAAAATAGCTTTTTAAAATCATGACACACACAAAAGCACTTTAAAATCACTGTTTCAATACAATTCTTAAATGCATGATATTTCCCAGACAGCAGAACCTAAGATTAACCATAGAAGCCTCCCCATTCCGATTTCATTCCGGCTATCATGTCCTTTGCCTTTTGATGAAAACCATCAGCTTCTTCTATCAGGTTGTTTATGATGCATTTTTGCTGAAAGACAGAAACATTTATTTTACTGAAGGCTTTTTTTTTTGCTAATACAAGTTGTAACAGAAAAAATGTATTTTTTGTTTAAAATAAAAGCCCATTTAAACTGAAACCTTATTCTTCGGAGTCATAATCTGAAAACAAATTTTCAGAGAAATGCATGCAAACTTTAAAACCTTAAGCATAATACCTAGTGCGTGAAAAACGTTAACCACATTTTAAAATGAAAATGCATTAGAAAAAGATGTACCATATATTAACACACCCCAGTCTAGAGATGCATGTTCACCTGGTGGATTTACTACCGCATATTTCACCTGTATGAAGAGTTGAGTGGTATTTCACTGTATATTAGTGTAGATGCATAAAGCCACATTGATTGGGACATTTTTGAAATGCTAACATCGTGATATAAAAAAACAATTATGTATTTGCATATTATGAAAATTATGAAAAGCAAGATAAAAGTTCAGTATATAAAAGGTTCAATCCCCCATATGCAACATTTTTTACATTTTCCACAGCAGTGTTTTTCTCCAGCAATGCATTTGCTTACTTTAAAACATAATGCCTCTCAACGTAGTACAGACCTGCAACTTGTGCTTGAGATGCCGCTACTGCAAGCTTGTTCTCTGCTCTTTGCCTTTTTATTACAAAACTGGACCAGTTCCCCAAGTACCCCAAGTACTTAACATCGACTGTTCAAAGCCAGTATACCTCCTAAAACCTCTAGTGAAGGTGCTTGATTATAATCTCACCTTTCACACATTTGCAACAAAATATTTGTGAAGTCTTTGGAATTTCCTGGATTTCTGCATTAATTACTCATAAAAATGTGGTTTGATCTTCAAGTAAGTCACAATAATAGACAAACACAATCTGCATAAACTAATAGCACACAAACAATGGTACTACTTCTTGTCAGTACTGAACACATCGTTTAAACATTCACAGTCCAGGCTGGAAAAAGTACTATATGTGAACCTCTAGGCTAATGACTTCTCCAAAAGCTAATTGGAGTCAGGTGTTCCAATCACTGAGATGAGATTGAAAGTGTGGGTTGGAGGTGCCCTGCCCTATAAAAAAGGCACAAAAAGATTGGTTACTGACAATCTGCTCTTCTCAAGAAAGAGCTGTTCATGTAAACCACGCCCTGATCAAAAAGAATTGTAGAGATGCATAAAGGTGGAAAAGGCTACAAAAGTATTTCTAAAGGCCTGAGTGTTCATCAATCCACAAAGACAAATCTTCTACAAATGGAGGAAATGCAGTACAGTTGCTACTCTCCCTAGGAGTGGGCATCCTGCAAAGGTCACAGCAAGAGCGCAGCCTGCAATGCTGAAGGAGGTGAAAAAGAACCCTTGGACAGGAATCTCTTGGACTTGCCAAAGTCTCTGTTCATGTGTCCACTATAAGAAACACACTGAACAAGAATGGTGTTGATGGAAGGACACCACAGAGGAAGCCGTCACTCTCCCAAAAAAACATTGCTGCCTGTCTCAGGTTGGCAAAAGACCCCTGGATGTTCCACAACGCTTCTGGGACAATGTTCTGTGGATGGATGAGACAGAATTTGAACTCTTTCGCAGAATGCAGATTTCAGCAATATAATTAATCAAACAAATCCATTCCAATTATTGAATCAATTTAGCAAAATGCAAACTATTTGAGGGGGGGATTATGCACAAACATTTGTGGTCAAGAAACAAATGTGAGTAATAAAACAGGGGTGACATGAAGAATAGTGCTGCTTACGCACAGCTTCATATTTCCAGGTTTCAAACCAGCCTCAGATGACTAGCTGTATTGAGTCTAAATACTTTTTTTTTTTAAAAAAAAAAAGAGCACTGCACACCAAAACCTCATCCCAACAGTGAAGCATGGTGGAGGGAGCATCATGGTTTGGGGCTGCTTTGCTGCCTCAGGGCCTGGACAGCTTGCCATCATAGAGGGAACAATGAATTCAAAATTGTATCACAGAATTGTACAGGAGAATGTCGGATCGTGGTCTGTCACCTGAAGCTTAATAGAAGTTGGGTAATGCAACAAGACAATGACCCGAAACACAGGAGTAAATCGACAACAGAATTGCTTAAATAGAAGAAAACTTGTTCTGGAATGTCCAAGCCAGAGTCCAGACCTCAACCCATTTGAGATGCTGTGGCATGACCCGAAGAGAGCTGTTCACACAAGGAATCCCAGAAATATCAATGAACTGAAACCGTCTTGTAAGCAGGAACGGTCTCAAATTCCTCCTAACCGTTGTGCAAGTCTCATCAGCAGCTACAGGAAATGTTTGGTGGAGGTTATTGCTGCTAAAGGAGGTTCAACCAGTTACAAAATACAAGGGTTCACATACTTTTTCCAGTCTGGACTGTGAATGTTTAAAATGTGTTCAATATTGACAAGAAGTACAATGGTTTGTTATTAGTTTAAGCAGATTGTATTTGTCTATTATTGTGACTTAGTTGAAGATCAGACCACATTTTTATGAGTAATGCAGAAATCCAGGTAATTCAAAGGGGTTCACAAACTTTTTCTTGCAACTGTATAATGAGCTCTTTAATCATTTTTTCACAATAATTTAGATAGCATGGAAACAGTAATTGCTAGTTAAGGCAGTTAATTATTTTCTGATGGGTTTTCTGACAGTGAGTTTCTCTTCAGTAAACACGCAGCCGTTGATAGTCATTTTTAAAATTCACTTAGACCGGACGTTTTGGTATAGTTTTTAATGTTTAGCTTTATTCTTGGTTGTTTTGGGTCATTTACTAAGATCTTTATGTTTTTATTTACATTATGCACGAGTAATTGTACAAAACTATCACCATCACTAATGTTTTCTTGGAAAAGCAAATATCCCAACCGTTTCATAATTTAGTACTGTCATCTATTAGTTCATTCTAATTCTATATATTTATGTAGAATCTCCAATATGTTTGTTATGCCCCCCCTCCATTGGAATTGCTAGTTGTTCTAATAGACGGGTAAAGTTTGCCACTGTGCTCTCAGATTGTGAGTGACTCTGACTAAGTCCAGGCAGGGAGGATTGAGCAGAGCTGTACCTGACCACTTTTGACCTACCCAACTATTAACATGTAATGGGCTCCATACCAATGGAGCAGATCCGATTGGAGGAGAGGTGTGTCCCTCACCGATAACACCAGAGGGTGCTGTGCCAAGAGGAGAGAATCCAGGCCAACTCATTCAACCCCACCCTCCGCATCACTCAGCCAGCTGAGCGCAGCTGCTTTGGGGATCTTGGTCACTGTCAGCTATTAACACCACAGTCTCGAACCCGTGATCGTACAGCTCAGCCTGCTCTCTCTGATATTTTCAAGACTGTGTAATCTTACCTGTTCAATCCAGTCACAGTCATGGAGTTTCGAAAAAATCTGTTTTACTGCTTCATCAGGTTTGTTCTTATCAAAATCTTCCTTCTTCACCTTAGAAACGCACTCTTGGTATAAATTATATTTGAAGTGTCGCAGCTGGTGATATAATCTTGTTTTTTCTGCACACAAGCTACCAACCAAAACAACCTTTCAAACAGAAAAATGGACAGAGGTTGGAGTTCTGGCCACACTGTGGTTTCATAGATACTGTAGAGGAAGATATGTGGGAGAATCACTCCAATTATTTCACCTAATCATTTAACCTAAGATACAACAAAAATATATTTATCCATTGATGCCAATAATAAGACACCCTATCAAATTTTCCATTTTAAAAAAGAAATTTGGAAATATCTTCCTCTTTTTGGAAATGTCTCAACACAAACACAATGTATAGAATATAAACAGTACCCTTTTGTTATCTTTTAGGAACTGTTCCATCTTCAGTATCTTCTTATCATAAGGTGGACCAGATAAAGTAATGGAATACTTGCACATGCGATCCATACAACAAGCCTGGCACTTTCGTTTAACAGCAGAACATGTGCCAATATCAATACAGGGGTAGTTCTCAAGACGATTCTGAAAAGAAACAGGTTAGAACTTTGTATTATGATGCTCATTATGTACATAGATGTATTGTGTTGTTGTCAATTTTCTCTTTACCAGGTAATTCCTTTGCCAGCTTCGTGTAGACGTCAGAGCCTGAAGGCGTGGCTCAATGGTTTTTTGATCAAATTGATCCAATGATTGTTTCATGTCTTCTTCAGTTCTTTTCCTCATGCTCTTTCCTGTAACAAATCCCGAATTTATGACTTATTTTCATCAGGAGAAAAAAAGTTTTCAAAGATAGCCTCTGAACTGACACCTGCTGGTGAGATACTGAAGAACAAACGATTCTACAGATTATTTAAAGATAAAAATTGTTGCAAGCCTTTTTTATAGAGATATTTACCTCTCAGCTAGTATCTCAAACATGCAGTGTGTGCAAGAAGACCTAAGAGTATTTCTGAGCTAGAAGTGTTCTGCTAGGAGCAGTTGGAAAAAAATTCTAAACCCAAAACAGAAAGACTCTTAGCTCAACGTTTGGAAGTTGTGATTTCTGCCCAAGGAGGGGTTACCAAGTACCGACTGGTGCCCAAACTTTTACACATGCCACATTCACTGCTTTATTATTTTCAATCTATTAAATTCAGCAAATAAATAGATTTTTTTTAAATTAAATGTGCAGAAATATGTCATGTTTAAGTTTGTACCCTGCAAAGGTTTTTTACTTAGAGATTCAGTGAAACATGCACTTTGAGCAGGGGTGCCCAACCTTTTGCACACAAATGTAGTTCTGTACTAGATGCAAAAGAGTTCTTAGCTCTATTTATCTATCTAATGTCAGCAAGCCACTAATGCTGGCGATGGCCACCAGGTTAAGCACCTTATCCCCCACAGGGTGCAAATTGAGACTGACAACATGTGACTGCTCTCACCCAGGAGGGGGTGCTAGTCTACAGCAGGGCCACAGAGAAAGGAGCTATGTACAACAGCCAGTCAAACCTAAGCAGCAGGTCTTTGAGAGGTAGAAGGAAACTGAAGCGCCTGTACAAACTCAACACGGACACAGAGAGAGTATTTAGACTCTATACAGATTGTCATCTGAGGCTGGATTGAAACCCAGGAATATGGAACTGTGAGAAAGCAGCAGTATTCTCCCCGTCACCCCTGTTTTCCTCCTCACATTTGTTTCTTGATCACAAAAGTTTAAGTGCATAATCCCCCCCAAATAGTTTGCATTTGACTAAATTGATTCAATAACTGGAATGGATTTGTTTGATTAATCATATTGCTGAAATCTGCATACATACCATATAAGGATTCAAGAAAGTTTTCATTTACAGCATTAGTGATCAATGCTTTAATTACTCTGTCAAAATGAACATCAAAGCCAGTGTCAGATACTGAAAGAGAAAAATAAAGGACAATACTATTATTAATATGAAATAACTGAATTATAATGTTATGTATTACAGATAAACCTTTATATTTTATACTTCAATAATTGCTGTCATTCCTGAAACTTCCATTACTGTATGTTGCTTCTCTTGCTGCTATATTGTAAGAATACATGATTATATCCTTTGCCTTATGTATAACAATTAACTGTTTTATAAAGAACATTTCTTACCAGTTATGAGCCCTTCCCTTTGAAACAATCTTCTTATTTTTTCCCTCTGTAAAATCAAAGATTAATGTGCATTGATCTTATTTTGTGTTAACAAATACTAAGATGACTTGAAGCATAAAATGTGCATTATTATGTAATAATAAGAGGAATTCTGCAATCTGTAAGGATGGGAGTAGTCAGAACTCCTGAATAACAGCTCATTAGAGTCACACCATTTTATATTCATTTTACCTGTTCTTCAGCCGTATAAGCTCCAAAGTTTCCAAAATCATCTTCACTGCTGCTGTTATAAGAATCCTTCCTTCCCTCAGTTTCATCAATTCTGCTATTACCGTTTTCACCGGAGCTACCTGTGCCCTCATTGCTCGACTGGCTGTCCGTTATAATAGAAGTGTTTTTACGCTGAACTTTTACACGGCCAATGTCATCTTCCTGAGAA